ATTCAATAAAATTTTCCACATTTTGATGGGATCCGAAATATTTTTATCCCGAAATTTCTAGTCAGATTAAATACAATTTCAATATAAATTTGTCTTACGTAAAAATCCAACGAAACATTACGCGTGCAACAATTAATAAAATTAAAATTTTCAAAATCCAAAAATATACCGATAATTTCAGTGCTTGCAAAGGATACCTTACTGAAAACCGCGTGTCATTTCCTTCTGCTCCTCGTTGGGTTCGACACTCTTATTTATCGAAAGGACTACGATAGATCCCCTATACTTGTGGGTCATCATGGTTTCGTATCCTACAAGCAATTTCATATCATGTTCTCCGCGATAGGAACTTTGGAGTGACTTTTTGTTGCACGTTGAGGGATTGTTATATGATCTAATTGTGTTATCATTGTTGAGAGAACTTGTACTAGTGAAAGAATATATATGCACCATATGCCTTGTTTTCAAGCATTGCAATACCGTTTTCTCTCACTTTTACTACTTGCTACCTTGCTGTTTTTATATTTTCAGATTACAAAAACCTATATCTACTATCCATATTGCAGTTGTATCACCATCTCTTCACCAAACTAATGCACCTATACAATTTACCATTGTATTGGGTGAGTTGGGGACACAATAGACTCTTCGTTATTTGGTTGCAGGGTTGTTTGAGAGAGGCCATCTTTATCCTACGCCTCCCACGGATTGATAAACCTTAGGTAATCCACTTGAGGGAAATTTGCTACTATCCTACAAAACTATGCGCTTGGAGGCCCAACACGAGTCGAGAAGAAGAAGATTGCGTAGTAGACATCAGGTATCTCTGGGCCCTCTCGGTAATACACATCATAAGCTTGCAAGCAAACGACTAAGGAGTTAGTCACAAGGTGATGTATTACGGAATGAGTAAAGAGACTTGATGGTAATGAGATTGAACTAGGTATGAAGATACCGACGATCAAATCTCGGGCAAGTAACATACCGATGGACAAAGGGAATTATGTATGTTGTCATAACAGTTCGACCGATAAAGATCTTCGTAGAATATGTAGGAGCCAATATGGGCATCCAGGTTCTGCTATTGGTTATTGATTGGAGAGGTGTCTCGGTCATGTCTACATAGTTCTCGAACCCATAGGGTCCGCACGCTTAACGTTCGATGACGATATAATATTATATGAGTTATGTGATTTGGTGACCGAATGTTGTTCGGAGTTCCGGATATGATCACGAACATGACGAGGAGTCTCGAAATGGTAGAGAGGTAAAGATTGATATATAGGATGAGGGTGTTCGGACACCGGAAGTGTTTTGGGGGTTACCGGGTACTTATCGGGTCACCGGAAGGGGCTCTGTGCACCCCCGACAGAAGATATGGGCCTTATGGGCCAAGACGGGAAACACACCAGCCACAAGGGGCTGGTGCGCCCCCATATGGGCCGGCCTAAGGAGGGGAAGGAAAGGGGAGAAGGGAAAGGAAGGTGTGGATTAGGATTCCCACTTCCCTCTCTCCCCCTCTTTCCTTCTCCCTCGGTTAAATATGGCAGGGGGGCACTTGGGGGGGACCCCAAGTAGGATTCGGCCTACTTGGGGCGCCTCCTGGCAACCTCCCCTCTCCCTCCCACCTGGGGGGGGGGGGCTAGCACACACCAGATCAATTGTTAGCCGTGTGTGGCGCCTCCCTCCACCGTTTACACCCCCGGTCATATTTTCGTAGTGCTTAGGCGAAGCCTTGCGGAGATCACTTCATCATCACCGTCACCACACCATCATGCCGACAAAACTCATCTACTACCTCGATATCTTGCTGGATCAAGAAGGTGAGGGACGTCATCGAGCTGAACATGTGCAGAACGCAGAGGTGTTGTGTGTTCGGTACTTGATCGAGCACGAAGAAGTTCGACTACATCAACCGCGTTGTGAAACGCTTCCGCTTACGGTCTACGAGGGTACGTAGACACACTCTCCCCCTTGTTGCTATGCATCTCCATGGATAGATCATTGTGTGAGCATATAATTTTTTTTCCATGCAACGATTCCCAACATGTGCATGTGTTGTTCATGAGGGTTAGCGTCATTTTCCTATTGGTTCGATAAACCTTGGATCTCACTGAGGGAAATATTTATCTCTACTGTACTGCACCTCATCTACGCTTCGGGGAAAATCCCAATGCAGCTCACGAGTAGCAATCTTTCTAGAGCTACTATGGTCGGATCAAATTATTTATTTATGAAGTCTAACTTTCAATGGAGCAACAAAAATAATAATGATCATGAACTTCAGTCTATGATTTAATCCAACTGATAAATGTGCAATGTACATTGATGTTACTAGCACGTTAGATCAGCTCAGCTAATGAAATGACAATGAAAGAGCCCACGTTCAGTGGTGCTTTGATGATTGCTATAGTAGGGCAAGTGTGGTGGCTAAATTGGTATCAATGCTAGATTCAAGTAGAAGCACCTAAAAACAATAAGGGAAAACTTTGTTTTTGCCACTCTAGTTTTACCCAACTTTGCTTATGCCACTCTAGAATTTGACATTTCACTTTTGTCACTCTTAGTTTTTGATTGCCACAGAATGGCAATTGTGATACATTCTCAAAATCTAAGAGTGACAAAAGTGAAATGAAAAATTATTGTTTTTGCCACGGAATGATATTTGTGATGTATTGTCAAAAACTAAAAGTAACAGAACTGATATGTCAAATTTTAGAATGACATAAGTAAAGTAGACAAAAATTAGAGTGGCAAAAACAAAGTTTTCCCAAACAATATTGCAAATTGGTACCTCTGCTGGAGCATGGGCACACGACACTCCAGCGAAGTCGGCAAGATTGAAAACTTCATATGCATCAATTTTCAAGCGACGGGACTTGTGACTTAGTCGGGATTTTGGTCGAGGGACTCGGGGACCTTTTATGTCAAAGGAGGGCAGTTTGGATGTAATCCGGGTCGGGCATATTGTGCCTACGTGCTTGAGCAGTTCTCATGTGTAGACACAGTAAGGTATATTTTCCTCGTTCTGTGTTCAACCTCAAATTTTTTTCGTGGGAAATTCACCCTCAACCCAAATTACCTTTGTAAAAAGAACATGAATAAATAGGTTGAGAATAAGATGAGAAAGGAAAAAAAAACATGTGTAAATATAACCCGAAAGCATGAATTTGTGATCCATTTAGTACTTTGGTTCTGATACTGTCATTTACTATCCGAATCCATCTAATAATTTACCACAATTAAATTAGAATCGACGAGATGTATGAGAAAGAAAAATATCCAGCCCGCGAAGAGCACCATGACACCAGAGTCCGGCTGGGTGACGACCTTTCCCTTCGCCGCCCGCCCGCCCGCCGCGCAACCGCCAAATCCCAATCACAAAACCAAACGAGCCAAGGGAAAAAACTCAAAAAGGATTAAAGGCTTTGGGCTTCGCGTGTCTCCCCGCTCTCCCGAACGAGTTCCTCCTCTCCCTCCCTCCCTCCCTCCCTCCCTCCATTTGCCCCCCGACCTCGCCTCGCCCCGCTAGGGTTTCACAGCCCCGTCTCCTCCCCAATTCCGCCCGATCCCGCTTGATCCCGGCC